TGCACTATGTCCATACTTTCTTCTGCACTAGAAGCTCCCGTCGTCAAGTCAAATTCATTGTGTCTGTAAACATGCTTGGTAATAAAGCTCTTTCTGACTTTCTGACAAGGGAGAAGGAGAGGTAGGGGTCAAAAGGCAAAGGGCTATATGTTGTTGTTTTTTTTCACACACAGAAATTTCATTTTGCCAATAAAGCCTCTTTTCTTTAAAAAAAATTTAAGAAAGTCACTTTTCTTTTACATTCCATAAAGTACCGATGACTCCTTCACTATGCTGTACACATACAATCTAAAATGAATCCACACATTTACACACAAAAAAGTTAGAGTTCAGCTGACTGAATTATTATTATTATTATTATTTATTTTTATTTTTAAATGGATCTCATATTGTATGTTCTATAAGTAATGCAGTTTTTGTAATGCCATTAATTGTTATAATTTTTACAGTCTATAGCAGGGGTTCTCAAACCTCTCCATGAAGTACCCCCAGTACTGCACGTTTTGTATGTCTCCCTATATCACCCACTTCAGGTCTTGCAGTCTCCACTAATGAGCTGATGAGTTGAATCAGGTGTGATAGATGAGGGAGGCATACAGAATGTGCAGGGCAGGGGTACTCCAGGACAGGTTTGAGAATCACTGGTCTATGCACTATGATTGACTATATCAGGGGTGGCGAACTCCGGTCCTGGAGAGCCGCAGCCCTGCAGAGTTCAGCTTTGCCTTGCGTCAGGACCCGCAAGGCTGCGGGTCCTGACGATATACCTGGCCGTGTATTGAGAGACTGTGCTGCACCGCTGACAGATGTCCTAACCGATATCTTCAACACCTCGCTGAGCCAGGCAGTCGTCCCCACATGTCTCAAATCCACAACAATCATACCGGTACCAAAGAAATCACCTGTGTCCTGTCTAAACGACTACCGTCCCATAGCACTGACTCCAATCATGATGAAGTGCTTTGAGAGGTTACTCATGCACAACATCAAAACCAGCCTCCCCAACACACTCGATCTGCTCCAGTTTGCATACTGTCCAAACCACTCTACAGATGATGCAATTTCCTCCACCCTCCACCTGGGTCTTACCCACCAAGAAAATAAAGATAGTTATGTTAGAATGCTGTTCATCAACTTCAGCTCAGCATGCAACACAATAATCCAGGGGTGGCGAATGTCGGTCCTGGAGAGCCGCAGCCCTGCAGAGTTTTGCTTTAACCCTAATCAAACACACCTGAACAAGCTAATCAAGGTCTGAACAGTTACTAGGAAGCTACAGGCAGGTGAGTTTTAATTAGGGTTGGAGTTGAACCTCTGCAGGGCTGCAGCTCTCCAGGACCGGAGTTTGCCACCCCTGCAATAATCCCACAACAGCTCATCAATAAACTAAACCTGCTGGGCCTTAGCAATTCCCTCTGTAATTGGATCCTGGACTTTCTATCTGGAAGACCTCAGTCAGTCCGTGTCGGCCACAACACCTCAAGCACTACCACACTGAGCACAGGTGCCCCACAAGGCTGTGTGCTCAGCCCGTTGCTCTTCACGCTGCTGACCCACGACTGCACTGCCAAGTTCAGCTCCAACCACATGATCAAGTTCACTTGTGACACAACAGTGGTAGGTCTCATCAGCAACAACGATGAAACGCACTACAGAGAGGAAGTGGCACAGATGGCTGAATGGTGTGGCACTAACAACTTGTCCCTCAATGAACTGTGGTAGGTCTCATCAGCAACAGTGATGAAACGCACTACAAAGAGGAAGTGGCAAAGCTGGCTGAATGGTGTGGCACTAACAACCTGTCCCTCAATGTGAGTAAGACAAAGGAGGTTGTGATGGACTTCAGGAGAAACTCCCGTTGACCAACCACCACTGACCATCGACAGCTCGACTGTGGAGAGAGTCAGGAGCACTAAATTCCTAGGGGTGCACATCACAGAGAATCTCACCTGGACCACCAACACCATGTCACTCTCCAAGAAGGCACAACAGCGCCTACACTTTCTCCACCGGCTGAAAAGAGCAAGTCTCCCCTCACCCAGCTGCATCACTGTCTGGAATGGAAACTGTAGTGCAGCAGACCGCATGACCCTCCAGCGGACAGTGAACACCGTTGCAAAGATGCCTGTACAAACCACCTGTAGAAACACACTCTCCTCTATGCGAACTAGACACTTTTCACACACACTGCTTTGTGTACATAATCCCACAAAAGACTCCGTAATATGTGTGTTTACATGCTCATGCACTACAAATCATCATGCACTGTTCCTCAGCCAGCTGCTTGACTTACAATGTTTCTCTTTGCACATGTACAGTATTATGTGAAGCATCCGTATAGTCTGTATTTTTTTTTTTTTTATGTATAGGTAAACATTTATATATAGTATATTCATAGTCAAAATCTGTCAGTAGGTTAGTTGTGTATAGGTACAGTGTTTATGTGAAGCATTCATTTAGTTTGTATTTTTTAAATTTATGTATAGGTAAACATTTATATATTGTATATTTATAGTCAAAATCAGTCAGTAGGCTAGTTATGAATAGGTTTTACTGTTTTACTTCATTGTTGTATGCCTGTATTTATGTAGCACTGTGGTCCTGTGAGGCACGACATTTCGTTCCACTGTATGTCCCCCTCCAGCGGACAGTGAACACCGTTGCAAAGATGCCTGTACAAACCACCTGTAGAAACACACTCTCCTCTATGCGAACTAGACACTTTTCACACACACTGCTTTGTGTACATAATCCCACAAAAGACTCCGTAATATGTGTGTTTACATGCTCATGCACTACAAATCATCATGCACTGTTCCTCAGCCAGCTGCTTGACTTACAATGTTTCTCTTTGCACATGTACAGTATTATGTGAAGCATCCGTATAGTCTGTATTTTTAAATTTATGTATAGGTAAACATTTATAAATATAGTATATTTATAGTCAAAATCAGTCAGTAGGCTAGTTGTGTATAGGTTTTACTCTTTTACTTCATTGTTGTATGCCTGTATTTATGTAGCACCATGGTCCTGTGAGGCACGACATTTCGTTCGACTGTATGTCCCTACATGTAGCAGAATGACAATAAAGCTCAACTTGAACTTGATTGACTGTTTTGTTTGAAGCGTGCATTTCTGTGGTAAGAGCGATCTCTATTCATATCATTATGGCGAGCACTAGCAAAGCGTTTAAGAGGATGTGTGCATCCGTGTTGTCGTTGTTTAACATCCGATGACACACACGATCTATGCGTTATTTGTTTGGACGAAGAACACACACGCAATGTCTCTGAGGGGCAATCGGCATGCACTGCGAGCGTTTTTCCAGTGAAAAAACTCCACTCTCATTTGTCTCTCTTTTTGAGGAAAGATGGGCAGCCATCTGCTTCCCACGATTCAGGTCCCGCCGCTGCTGAGGCACGGAGGAGAATGAGCTTGTTGGGATCGCAGATGGATCTGGACGATGAGTTTGAAGAGGGGTTTTCCCTCTCGCGATTGTCGGCTGTGGACGAGAGTGAGCCACTGGAGGATGATGTTATTTCATTAACATTGTCTGATCCAGGGGCCAGTGCTCTGCTGGGTTTGGCCCAGCAAAAGCAGGAAATGTCTGAGGAGGGCAAAGAAGCTAAGGCTGAGCCTTCCCAATCCTCCTGCTCTGTGTATGATGAGCTTTTGAAAGTTATGGATCGCGCCACGGCGAGGCTTTGCTTGCTGTGAAGCGGGCGAAGAAAGTGACATCGCAAGGTCATCTCGATGAACGTTATTTTTTCTGGCCATAATCCTCCAGCTCAGGTGAGCCTTCCTTTCTTCCTGTTTCCATACAGAGATTGAGAAGGAATGGAAGAGGCCGTTTTATTGTCAAGCATCCATCGATTCCAGCATACGAGTTATGCCAACATCAAGGCAATGCGCGAAAGTGGTTATGAGAAGATGCCCCTATAGAGAGAGACGCTGGCCAGCTATCTCTCTATGGGTGAGACGTCCTCTTTTAAGACCCCCTCCTTGACATCTCGCTCGAATGTCAGGGCATACGCAGCAGCAGCAGGTCGGGCTGTCACGATGGTGATGCTCCAAGCATATCAGGCTGACCTGCTGAAAGACCTGGATAAAGGAGGTCCAGGTCTGAGCCCGAACAACCCAGAGGTCCTGGCCCGTCTCGGTTTGAGAATCAGAGACGGGCACAGAAGGCTAGTGTCGCAGCTCGTGCTCCTCCCCCGCCCGCGGGTAGGGGGAGGAAGAATCGCGGCTAATTCCCCTGTAACCACCATCTCCACCTGACTGAGGTTAGGTGGGAATTTCCTGCATTACATTCTCCTATGCTGGACCTATGATCTTTGGTTGGTTCTATGGTTTCATAGTGACCACCTTACTGATGGTCCGGACCGGAGGCTTCTTCGGACGGGGCTCCGATGCGGGAACCATGGTGTGTGAGTACGATCCATTTCTAAATATATATATATATATATACAGGGCCATCCTTAGCTGACGCGAGGTAGGGAGCGGGGCCCCCCTCGGTCCGTTCACCGCGGGGCCCCCTCAAGCCCTTGAGGTCTGGCTTCATGGCGAGTGTCGGGAAATCGAGCAGAAGGATTAATAAAAGAGAAACGAGGCCTCGATCTCCGTCAGGTATTATTATATTAATATTAACTTCTTAATATGTTTAGTCCTTCTCAGAAGTTTCCAGCTTTGAACTAGTAATTTCTTTGCTGCAGTCAAAGCTGCTAGCCAAAATTTCCGTTCTTTCTCACTTATAGGAAATTGAGAATTATCATTCAACAATAAAATTACAGGATCAGTATAAAACATCAAGCACAATGTCCCAAAATTTTTGCACATCTGGACAGTCCCATAACATATGTATCAAGGTGTCAAGGCAACCTGGTCCACAAAATATGCAATATGGATGGGGTGATATACCCATAGCATAACGTATACGTGTAGTTAAATATGCTCTCTGAATAATTTTAAAGTGAATGAATTTGTGATTAGAGTTTGTGGACGCGTGGAATGTATTATCCCACACTGTGTCCCATTCAATGCTTCTATTATAGGGAGTCAAATCTGATAACCACGCTCCAGCTTTAGGAAAATTATCTGTATTAAGATTTGAAAAGCAAAGGTAAAAATAAGAAACAATTCCTATGCTTGGCGCATTTTGAATCCATTGCTTTACTGGGTGAATTTGAAGATTATTACTCCAAGGAACCTTTTGAGATTTTAATGCAGAACGAAGTTGAAAATATAGAAATAACGTGTTACGGGAAATATTAAATCTTTCAATTAAGTCTTGAAAATCTAAAATTGATTTCTCTCCATTTATATCGTTTAACGTTAGAATACCTTTTGAAACCCAAGTTGGCTGTACAAATGGTTGTCCACCAGAAAGCAGATTTAGATTGTGCCATACGGGAGTATGGGTATGCCATATAGTTTTAGATGAAAAAAGGGATTCAATCTTTTTAAATATTTGGAGAGTATAGGAAAGTATAGGTCCATAAGTCTTGAAAATCTAAAATTGATTTCTCTCCATTTATATCGTTTAACGTTAGAATACCTTTTGAAACCCAAGTTGGCTGTACAAATGGTTGTCCACCAGAAAGCAGATTCAGATTGTGCCATACGGAAGTATGGGTATGCCATATAGTTTTAGATGGAAAAAGGGAATCAATCTTTTTAAATATTTGGAGAGTATAGGAAAGTATAGGTCCATAATGTAATGAGCACTTCCTATACCTAAGGCCAGAAAATAAAAAATCTTGCAAACGAACTGGTGAAATAAGCTCTTGCTCTATTTCTTTCCACGAGGACTGTGAACAAGGATCAAACCATTTCTTAACCGAGAGCAGAATAAAGGACCAATGATACCATTTAAAATTTGGGCAACTCCATCCGCCTTTCATTTTAGTTCTTTGAAGTGTAGACCACTTAACGCGGGGACATTTTCCATTCCAAATATATTTTGTTAGTAAAGAATCTAGTTTTTTCCAATAATTTGTAGGTGGGGGGAGAGGAAGCATGGAACTAACAAAATTGATGTGAGGCAGAATATTAATTTTTATTACTGACATTCGGGCAGAAGGGGATGAGGGCAGATACATCCATCTTTGAATATCAGACTCAATTTTTCCATAAATTGACATATATGTTATTTTTGAGATGAGGGGTAAAGTGGGTCTGAGTTCGATCCATAAATATTTAACTTGTGTTGATATTAGGATATTGTTTGGAATAGAAAAGTTAAGACTACCGGAATTAAGAGGCATCAAAATAGTTTTAGCATTGTAGCGAATTTAGCTCACAACAGGAAATATGAATAAT